TTGTTCTAAACCATGTTTCCGTTTAGTTGATCCACTGTATAGATAATATGGTTCCTCTTAAAACCTTAAGATAGTAAAAAATTTGAGTTTTATTATGGATCAACGGGATCCCAAAATTCTCCCAGAAAAATCGATGTTGTTCTAAACCATGTTTCCGTTTAGTTGATCCATAGTATAGATAATATGGTTCCTCTTAGAACCTTAAGATTGTAAAAAATTTGAGTTTTATTATGGATTAACAGGATCCCAAAATTTCTACCTGTGTATACAATAGGAATTCGAACATAACTTACATTAATCGGATAGCGAAAAATTTAAACTGCTCTTATAAAGAACACTATAGGGAGAAAATAGTGATTGTCTTGTTGTGATATCACAGCTTAACCATTGGTAATTTTTTATAGACTCTCATAAAAGTCACAACAATTCAAATCATGGGTTTTAAAAGCTGCGTCAATAGATATTGGTTCTGTTGTCCAACAATAGACTGGATTGGCTTTTAATTCATGCAAATATATGTTTCGTTTGACGTCGCAAAATTCTTTTCTATCTTTAGTAATCATATTCAAATTAAACTCACAGCCAAGATGGTAATTATGTAAAAATTAATCATAAATAAACATAAAAGTATTTTAATATCATTTAAAAACATTAAAAATGCACTCTGGTGAAAATGAAAATAAAAACTCAGTCTAGAAAGCAATCAACTTAAAGAAGTTGATTGTTTTCTAGACCGGATACTGGACCGGATTCTGGGTTGAATACTTAACATTTTATTTTAAAACTTTTCTACACCTTATCTTTGGTCAAATTAAAATGTTTAATGGAGTTCGAATGGTGTTTTTTCTGAATTTCAAAATATCAGTCCATTACTCGAAAAATTAAATTATGTCTTCAATTTATAATTTTAAATTATGTCATAAGAAATATGAAGAAATACATATTGCGGAAAAGGTTAAAATACTCCTATATACCAAGTCTTTTTAAACAAAAGTTTTAAAAAAAGATGTTATGATTAAATACACTATATTTTTAATTCAAATTTTAATTAAATTACTATTATTACTTATACTATTAATGTTTTGTTCTGATAAAAGCAAAAAAAATTAATATAACAGAAACTATTCTTTGTAAAATTTTATCATTCATAGAAAAATTTAAAACGAGTGTACTTACAAAAATCTAAAGATAAAAATATTTATATCATTATAAATAATAATATTTATAACATTATTAAGCAAATAATATTTATAACATTATTAATTAGGAAAATTTTATAAACTCTTAATTCTAATGAGCAAATTAATGAAAAATGTGAAGTATTTATTTATATTGTAAATAAGAAAAATATCCATTTTGGTAATATTGAATATTTACGGTAACATTTAAAAAAAGTATGTTACACAATAATATAAAATAAATAATAATCCTATCGTAGTTAATATCATTGTTGATTAAATGAAATCAAACATTGATTTTGCAAACTTTTATTATTTATGGCTAACGGGTTAATACTTAAAATAAATATATTACATAAAATAAATATGTTCTATAAAATAAATATATTAATGCAGTTATAAATAAATTTATTAATTTATATCGTTGTTAATTTCATTGTTACATTTTTTTGTAAACTTTTATAATTTATGATTAAATAGGTTAATATTTATAATAAATATATTTTATAAAAGGAATATATTAGTGTAGTTTTAAATAAATGACATTAATTTATACCATTGTATATTTCATTAATAAACTCAAGCCAAATGTTGATTTTGTGAACTTTTATTATTCATGGTTAACAAGTTAATATTTAAAATAAATATATTATATAAAATAAATAAATTATTAGAATTTCAAACAAATGATATTAATTTATACCGTTGTTAATTTCACTGTTAGTTAACTCAAGCCAAACATTTTGTAAACTTTTATTATTTACAGTCAACGTGTTAATATTTAAAATAAATATATTATATTTAATAAGTATATTGTTGCAGTATTAAATGAATGATTTTAATTCATACTGTTGTTCATACCATTGTTAATTTAAACAAAAGATTTATTTTGTAAAAGTTTATTATTTACGGTTCAAAATGAATACATTATATAAGTAACATAGATTATTACAGTTTTATTTTAATGATTTCAATCTATTCTGTTTTTAATGTTTTAATCTATCATTGTTAGTTAACTTAAACCAAACGTTGATTTCGTAAAATTTTATTATCAACAGGCTAATATTTAAATAAATATAAAGCAAGAAAATAAGAAATAAAACTGTCAATTTTCTTATTTCATTGTTTGTTTCATTGTCTTTCTTTTATTTTACAAGCTTGTTTTTTTCCTTAAATTTAACAGGAAATAGAAAATATCTAGTTTTAAAAAAATAAAACTGTATAAATAAACACATAAATATCATTATTTTTCTCTTTATTATTTGTGAAAGTTCATTTTTTAATCTTTTGTCTTCAGTTAACTTTTGATGAAACAAAGATTTTTCCATGGCATGTAAACATCTGGCAGCGATTCGTGCTGCATAACCAAAAAACGTGATTTAATATGTTTTTAATGATGGCAAAGTCGTAAAAGAGAACTAGATGACGAGGTCGAACACACACAGAAAAAAAAAGACATCTGCCTCCTCACTTTATATCTAAAGGAACGGTTGTTTTTAACATTTAGAAAACAAGTTCAATGGAAACTCCGTCACGTAATAATATTTTGTTAATTTATCTTTTTATATGAAGCATTTGCGAACGCCCGCCGTTAGATAAATGTGACCCGCGATAACTTTAATAATTGTGAAATATTTAAAAATTCATTTCACTTTCACTTCATATTCGGTTTATTCCTCTTATAACAAAATTATAAAATCCAACACTGTGTTTCTTGTTTGCTAACTTGTTTTTATTAAAAATAAAACGAGCTTCAATTAAAAAGTAACTTGCTTAAGTTTTTACGCCAATTTAATTTCATACTATTTTAATTTTATGATTCAAATATTATTGTTATATGTGTAAATACACACGGAACAATTATCTTTTCGTAAATAATTGTTTACATTTTAAAACTGTCAATTAAATAATTTAAGTGATATTTACACCAATTTAAATTTAAATTAATGTATTTTAATATTTAAGACAATTGTAAAAATGTGTTAACGCAGACAGATTAACTAAACTCAATAAAAAATTTATAACTAATATTTTTTTGCATTTTATGCTACTATATTATGAATCAAAATGAGGAAAATGTTTAAAAATTTAAATCAATTAACAACAAATTAAAGTCTTTATCACGACAACAATTTATGGTCACGATAATGCTTTAAATTAAGTACAACTGATGATTATAAATACTTGTGTAAAGTGAATAATAATTTTTCACCATAATGGAGAACAAAATTAAATGCACAATTAAATGGAAAAACACAGGAAACATAAAAGAGTTATTTTTTTAAAAATTTTGCTTTTGAGTTCAATATTTTCTATTTGCTCTTTTTTTGTTGTATATTCTTTAGCTGAAAAGAAATTAACTTTAACTCAAAATTATGCACTTTAATGAAAGAAAACACGTTTCAGTAAAATATAATTTAAAATAAAATTTTGAAATATATAACGAACATCTTTAATCCGAAACTTAAAATTGTTATTAGAATAAACAAATACATAAATATCTAATTTACACATAAATACTTACGCTACTCCATCTTAAATCTAGTTTGCTTCCATAATAAGCTCTACAGTTATTAAATTTTTAAATTTTCAGTAAAATTTAAGGCATTAATTTTTTACATTTATTTTCGAATAAATTGTACATATGAGTGAAATTTAAGAATATATATTAAAAACACTGTTATTTATTTCATAATAACATTCTAAAAATGATACGTTTCTATATTTTTGTTTTAAATCACCGGATTTTAATATAATCTGAAATAAATCAGTGAATAGAATTTGTATACTTAAACATATAAATTACATTAAGTATTTATTAACTTAAAAAAAAATGTGAAAATAATGCTTGTTAATAAGTAGCTTATTTGAATAATAACATATTTGCAATAAAATTACTTTTTCTGATGAATTTTTATTAAAAAATTACATTAAAAAATTACATACTAAATATTTTATATTGGTTCGTAACTGCATTAAATATTAGAGAAATTTAAGGCAAAAAGGAAAATAGTAATTGTAACTATTTACTGAATTGAAGATTAAAACGTGTTATTAAATTTATTCATTTGATTTCTTGAAAATAACGTAAAAATTCTCACACAATAAATATTTCAAAATTAGTACTTATGCTAAAATATAAATAAATAAATACTTATCATTATTTAGTATTTAATCAAGCTAAAGACGCAATGAATCTTTTAAAAAAATGCTCACTGTTCAATCGCTAGGTTAAACAATAGTAATTTAAGTCTTATTAAATCCTAATATTAATGTTATGTACTTATTAATTGTTGAAAAAAATCTGTTTTTTATTACGTAGTCCGTAAAAACCTTCAAAACATTAATATATAAAAGATATATAAAATAAAAAATTAAAAAGCAAAAAAAAAATTTTGATGAAAAAATTAAAAATAGTAAGTTAAAAATAATAAACTAAAAATGAAGCAACTTTTAAAATCAAGCATTAAATTTTTAATTAATTCAGATTTAAAATTAAATTAAATCTTCATTCTTTTATTTTCTCAGTATATTATCAGTTACTAGATTCTTAACATAAATAAACCGATTAGTTATAAGAAATAAAACAAACATTTTTTTTAAAATAAAATCTATGTAATTTTACTTAGTTTAGTAAATTTAAATAACCAAAATATTAATAGTGATCATACAAATACTCAATGCAATTCCTATTTCCTTCCTCTTCAGGAAAGCTTAAAATATCGCATCATATAAAAATGCACCTCTAAACTCGGCCTTTCACATAAACCGCAATCTAAAATTAACGAGATTCGCTGACAATGCCATTCATGAGTGACTCACCTCTTCAAATGTTCGTGCTGCCATACCATTCTTTCCTCACACTTGCGTAATTCCCTACCTAAATAAATCTGGCAACAAAAAGATCATCCAATCCATAATGCTTTTCGATAAGTTTGTAAGGCAATCAGTTTCACAATTTGGCGATAAAAACCTTTTTAGATGATACCATTTGATACAAAGATGGCGAGCAAACAGTAATTGCATTGCCTTGTTGTTTGACACAACTGCCGATCTTTCAAAGACATAGTGGAGGGCGGAAGGTTGGTTCTTGCTGATAGGAGGGTCCGAAAAAATTTCGTAAAAATGAACAAACAAAGTCACGTAAACAAGTCAAACGCGCAAGCGTGGAAAGTTCTTGGGACTGATAACAAAACACCAAGCCTAAGAGGGATTAGATCTACACCCACTTTCAAGAGATTTCCGGAATGCTGCTAGAGACATTTATATATAAATATAGAAAATCTGACCACCAAAACAACAAGGTCAAGTTCATAACCTTAGCATACATTTCCATGGTAAATGATTCCTGGATATCTACATATATCTGTCATCATGCAAAATAGCAGAAGATACGAAAAATTATTTTGCTACGATTAAATAATAATGTCCAATCTTCTTTGATAGTATTACATTTTAAAAGAGTACGTCAAACAAGGTTAAAACTATGCAAAGTTTGATTTCAAAATTTTGAATGTCATAATCACGTTATGCGTAGATAAAACTATAATAAATTTCGAAGCTTGATTTCTAAACAATGATACTTAATGTCAACTATTGTGTTGGTAAATGACGCATCTAAAACTTTCTCAACAAACTAGATTATTTCGGGCATAAAAATATTAATAAATACTTCATTTTTGATTATTTTTGGAAAAATACCGATGATTAAATAGACACCGATGATGATTTAAAGCATACATTAAATATTATTTGGATATGAATAACTCCTTTTTTATCCATTCAATTAGATATAACAAATTTACAAAAGCAGCGTGCAAATTTTCACCGAAAATGCGTATAATACTCACAATACTTATTCAGATGAAAGAACAACAATTATGGAATCAAAGTAAGGTAAGAGATTGATCTGTTCATCACACAATGTCAAAGAAACTCCTTTTATATAAAAGGAATTTAAATTAAATATATACATTAAATTCTTTTCTAATATTGAATAAATATAATTTTTTAGGAATATTTTTTCATAGATACTTCATTTCAAATTATTTAAATAAAAATAAAAACGATTGAACATAACGCCGAAAGAATAATTTTAAACTCATACAATTCATATTTAGGATTATTCAATGAGATGTCGTAAATTTCGGTAATTTCATTCAATGTGGAAGTCGGTAAATTTCAATTTGTAAATTAGTTTGATTTTTTAAATTAAAACAGATTCCACAAATTAGTATAAATGTTAGGTCATGGTTAAAATACATTTAAAAAAAGGATAGCTTGCACGGTATTTATTTAGAAACATGGAGAACTTGTATAAGAGTAACAGATTAAATAAGGAGATATCCTTAGCTATTACACATATAATTTAGAGAATTAATAAATTATTCTTTAATAATCATATTGCAGGGCCAGAAAACAAGCATTTATTTCAAAAATCTTTCAATCATGTTTCTTTATGTCACTTTTTAAAAATACTTGAAATATTTTGTTTTGGAAAACATTTGAGAAAAATAATCACACATATAACAGAGTACAACAAATACTAATACTATAATTCAGTTGAAAACTGGTTCAATTGTTACACTGCGTTACATGCACTGTATTACATGCACTGCAATAATACAAAGAACTAAAAAAATTTTATAGAATTTATTTCATATGAATTATCAATATCCTGAAGAATTGCTACGAAATTTTAAATAAAGTACTAAAATTAACATTTAATATGTATTAAAAATTGTGCTTTTTAATAACAAAGTTATAAAATAATTTATATATAATATAAACTTAAAACAAATAAAATACCAAACTTCTACTTTAAATATAAATGGTTCTCGAATATAAGTAAAACATAAATTAAATATCTAGATTTATACTACTTTTGTCTAGAATTTAAAACATCATTTTATCATTTTTAATAACATCAAATTGCTTTAATATTTTTAGGATAAGATAAAAAGAACATTCATTGCGTATAAGAGAAGTATGTTAACATTCACATTTTAAACATTAATATTTACTTTCACAACATTAAAGAGCAGGGGGATCTCACTATTAACAATCACCTCACTAAAAAACAGTATGATATTAATATAATTACATTCACTGCATTTTATAATCGTTTATTAACATTCCTAATACTATATAACAAGATATAAATTTACAGCTTAAGACTTAACTATTGTCTACTTAAGATTTTCTGAAGAAAAGAGTCTTTAAATTTTTGCAAATAAATTTACAATCTAATTTTTAATGGATTTCTTATCAGATCAAAAGACGAACTTAGTTTTTCTGTTTATTACATATTAGAATAAATTTTGAAGCCTAGATACATTCAAATGTTATTACCAATATTTGTTTATTCACATTTTCTCTTTGATTGCTCTTTTTTTTTTTTGGTTATTGATTTTGTGTTCTTTTGTATAAACGTAATGCTTGCAAGGGAATGCTTTGCAAGCGTAATGATTTGCTGTAAAAAGTTCTGGATCAAATTACGGCAAGAGTACCAGCAAGTTGGCTGTACCATTCGCAAAATCTATTGTACAGAAAAACTCATATTAATCTTCAAATAATATACCGTAATTTTCACAGTAATATTTTTGTAATTAAAGTGATTCAATATTTTTACTATAATTATTACTGTAAACATTATGGTACATCAGCTTTTTTGCTCCGTAACATGCTCCGATAAAACGTATCGACGCATTGAGGGCTGCGACTTAGTACCGTTATTCAATCCGGAATTTTTTACAGCGTAGTTCAGAACCCTTCTAACTCCGCACCCGAGTTAGGTTGCAGCTAAGCCCTTCACTAAAATGCCGTCCAGTTTTTATTTCTTCCAAATAAAGGAAATGATTTATAAAAAAAAATATGGCTAAGTCACAGAAAAAAAAATATGATTACAACTCCAAAGGTTTTGTTAAAGACACACTTAGTAAAAAACTTTCAATGAACCTTTCTTACTCAAGTAAGGCCGAAATAAAAGAACTAAAAAAACTCGAGGAAATAAGAGGGAACGATTTTTCCTCTTTCATAACAGAAGTGCATTGTATTATATATCATAAATGAAAGTGAGTGCAGATTTTACCGAACGAATGTTAGGGGTTCGTATTCTAAGTAGATGTCACTGAACTCTCTTCCTGTGATAACCCATTTGTTACCCCACGAGACATAGCACGTACCACCACGTGTTGCACTTACCCTCAAATGATACCAGCTGCCAACTTGTTAAAATTACCTTCTCTAGAGTAGTGTTTTTATCAAGTGAATACAGGGTGCGTAGCCAAATTATTCAACAAAAATAAGCACCTTTTAAGCACTTTTGGAAGCACTCAAAAAATATATTCAATATTCAAGCACTCAAAATATAATTACATAGGGTTGGAAAGTTTTTGACAACTGACGGTTTTATTCTTGTTTTAACCATCATGTCAAAAAAAAACTTTTGGCATTGTTTTTGAAAAACGAAATCGAATGGCGTTTTCATATGCTACGGACTGACAATAGGCCAAAATAGATTGGGGATGAATTAATTGTGAAAAGTTGAACAGAACAATGTGAACTGCGTCTTTTTGCATAATTCGAAGTGAAATTCAACATAGTAAAGAAAAATATAATTTTGAAAAAAGGAAAATTAAGCACTTTTTAAAAACACCCAATGAAAAAAGCACCTTTAAGGGCTTTTAAAAAACAAAAATCGAAATTAAGCACCTTTAAGCACATTTTAAAAACGCTACGCACCCTGGAATACTATACTCTCTGAATTTCTTGGTAGCGTTTGTAAATCAAAATTATTTTTAAGATATCACAGTTTTATAGTTATTAAAATATTATAACTTGTAAGGATACTTAAAAGTGATGTGTAATAATTTATTACTTAATAAATATAATGGTGTAGTCTAAATTAGAGATAAAGCTCAGAAGATTTGATAGCAATTTTCTAGTTGGGCTAACTCAGTGGTCGGCAAACTTATTAGCCAAGGAGCCAAATATGAACATTACAACAATTTTTAAAAAAATTGGGAGCCAAATCTGCTTGTTTAGTAAACTTTTATTACACTAAATAAGTAGTACACTAAATAAAACTAAATTTCATACTTAATAAATATTTATTAATGCGAACAATGTGCTTGCATCTCCTTGGAAAGTTTGAGTAAGTCAGGTTTGTATGTTGTTGTTTTTAATTTTAAGCCAATTTGTACCCCCACTACTTTAGAAAAAGTATGCGCGCATGCTTGTGGTACCTTTGTATCACACCGGAGTACCCCGAAAACATACGAACAATTTCAGCTGGTAGCTTGTACGTGGTTTGTGTTTACGTTTACGAAAACTAATAAAATTAAATTCGATGTTCGTTACGTATTTTTACAACAATATACCTATCTATCTTTTAACTTAAAAAAAAAATTATGCATGTTCTCGATTTATAGAAGAATTTTAATTTATCAAAATAAGATGTAATTTTTTTCTTACTAAGTTATTTTTTTAATGGAAATATTATTGCGCCTTCCGTGGATATTTGAGCCAGAGCCGCACTTAACGAGCCAAAGAGCCACATGCGGCTCTGGAGCCGCACTTCGCCGACCACTGGGCTAACTGATCGAATAGAACGGAGAAATTGATTAAGAATTTTCAGATGATTTTGAAGAGAGGAAAAATTAGAACAAATTTTAGCGGCAATATAAGAAACATCGGCATTTTTAGACGAATGTAAAATTTATTAAGCAATTTACCTATATATTGTATAGAATACATACTAAAAAATGACCGATGCATATAAAGCAAAGTATAAAAAAAGAACTCGATAATCACTTGATTATCACGTCCTTTATCATTTAATTGATCTTGGCTAAAACATAATTATTCAAAAGGTGATAATTTCTCTTAAATACATAAGTTATATTGAAAAAATTGCAAATGACTGTATGAAATGCCTCATTATAAAGAACTGATAATTTATTCCGGTTTATAAATTGACTCTTTATAAATGCTTAGACAATTTGCGAAATCGTTTCCTACTTTACCGGCCACATAAACTCAAAATACAATTTAAAATTGAACCTTTATTACATTATGTTTCTAAAACGTCTCTGAGTGTTATGAGCCAAACTTAATTTCAACATTTATTAGAGATATGTTTACATTTTTAAGAAATTTATTCCGGTTTAAAAATTGGTATTTTATAAATGCTTAGGCAATGTGTGAAATGTTTCATTGTTTCATACTTTACCAGCCCCATGAACTCAAAAGACATTAATTTAAAGTTGGACTTATAATATAGTATTTTTCTAAAAGGTCTCCAAGATGTTATGAAATAAATTTAATACTAAGATTTATCACGGACATGTTAATATTTTTTAAAAAGTTTATTCTGTGCAAATATTTTGTTGGCTACGGTATCGTAAAGAGAAACAATTTTTTTACATTTTAAAAAAT